ACCTAAAATTAAATTTTATTAAATTTTTTTTTTTTTTTTTACTGTTTCAATGGTTTCATTAAACCTATATCAAATTGAGAATATACAAAATATTTCTCCAAACTGAGAATGCTTTGTGGGACACTTATACCCTTAAGTTATTTCTTGTGAGTTTAAGCATAATTTGCTATTTTTTAGAGATATTGATTACTAACTTGATCGTCGGAGTGCCCCTGGGTAGACGAACCACCGCCAGATTCTCATCTTTTTATGCAGGTTATTGGACTTAATTTATTCTACAGGTGCTCTCCGGCTGAGTTCCCCATTTGGTTGTGTGGTCGGAAATCAACACCCACAAGTACGTAGAACTATTCTATTCTTTGTTACTAACATTATTGAAATGTAAACAACAAAAAAATGAGGGGAAGAAGAAATTACCAGAAACTGGGTTTGCCATGATCGGGCCACATAAGGGTTTGGAAAGTTCGAACTTGATGGTCGCCGGAGTAGGCAAATCAGATATCTTGTGGCGTGTGACCTATACAGATGCAGAACGAATGCGTACTGAATTACACACCCGGAATCATTAACTTAATTCTTTCTTATCTTGGTGTGTTTCTACTTTTTATCGTCATTATTATGTCTTATTCTCGGCTTAGGAATGCCTAGGATGTAATGAGGATGCTAAAATGCACTTAGAAACACTTAACAAAACTTGCTGAAAACAAGGGTCCCACTCGAGCGGACATGCAAAAATGTGAGTGGTCACTTGAGCTCAACTTTTGTCGCTCGAACGGTCTGCAAACTCAGTAAAAGTACTGGTTCCTTGATTTTTCCGCTTGACGCTCGCTCGAGTGTAACTTTTGTCGCTCGAGTGGTCTACAAAACATGTGAACTTCTGGGAGCTTGCATTTCATGCTCGAGCGAACTTTCGATCGCTCGAGCAGAAGTGCAAGATCACAGAGTGGTCGCTCGAGCGCAAGTTTTGTCACTCAAGCAGAGAGGTCGAATTCTGAAATTTCTAGATTCACCTCTAAGCTGCAAAACTCGAATCAAACACTTTAAAACTCATTCTTTTGGGACAAAAACTTGAAGAAAACTTGTGTAGACTTGGAAAACATCTTGAATGCAAAACCATTCGCAAAATCAAGGCCCAATAGCATGCCAATTGTTCAAAAGCCAACTTGAAACTTATGAATATGCCATGAACATGACATGCATGAATTTCTATGAACTTAGACTTCCCAAAACATGATCAATTAAGGTCAAATGGTAAGAATTGTGATGAATTCTCAAAACCAAGTCAACATAGACACATGCATTTGAAAATTCTTTATAATCAAACTCAAAATGCTATGGTATATGCATGCATGCATGATACACTCCTATAGTCATCCATCTAAGTTCGATTTTTGCATTACACCACTCAATTCTTATGTTAATTTACCTTTCTCACTTGATTTCATGTAGTAATCACTAAATTACAACTAAACGGTAGAAATCTTTACCTTAGAAGCTCAATTGTGTGCTAGGTGTTCAATTGCTAGAGTTTTCAAGTTCAACATCTCTTTTTCTCTCTCATGTTTGGTGTGTGTGTAAGCTCAAAGATGTGTTGAAGTGAAAAAAAGGAATGAGTGGAGGCACAATAGGAGCCTTATATAGGCTTAATTAGGAGTTGGCTAATTAGTTGACATTAATTATTCTAATTTAATCACCCCGAATCGAATTTCAATTAAACCTATCATAAAATTCTAAAAATTCCAAATAACACATATCCTAAGTCAATTTCGTGATTGGTTGCCGATAAAGCCTTCAATTCATAGAACAAAACAGAAAGTCAAAAATATATTCCTACGATAAACAGATAGAAACACAAATAATCCAACACGCATGTAATTAATGTAGAATTTCTTCTTAATCACTTATTAAACATTATTATTCATGGATTATACGTTAATCATGAGTCAGAGTTGTTACAATAATTAAATAAAATCATAACCAAAATAATGTTATAACCAATAATATCACAATGTGTCATAACTAACAACAAAATTCAGAATTTATTAATTTGTCTAGTATTTATTAATAAATTTTACATTCTATTAATAAAATTTATTAATTTATTAATGTAAAATTCATTTAGGAAAAATACTGGACAAATTAATTTGTCTAGAATGTAAAATTTATTTATTTGGCTATTTTTCTTAAATGAATTGTCTATTTGGCATATGTATTTACTTTTTCAATGTGGAAAAACAACCATTGACTAGTTGAGGGACAATTCTTCAAACTGGTAACACCAAAATGCAAATGACAAATTTTACAAGATTTGTAAAAATTAGAAGCAAGGATCAACAACAAATTTATTTTTTTATTTTTTTGTTTTTAAAACTGAACCAAAATCCAAAAAACACACTGCTACCAATCCTAATGTAGAAACCAATTGCTGTAACACTACTCATTTACATCACCAATTTTTATCCCTTTTTTATTTCATCACTTCAAAATCCAAGCAGAATTTTGTGCCACTCATTCATGATGAGCTGAGTGAGAAATGTTTTAGGCAGGGACAATGTGAGCATCTGGCTCTGATGCTTCATTTTTCTTGGCCTTCCCTTTCTCAAGCAAGTAAAGTCTTTCTGCTTCAGGTATTGCCAACATGATCGTGTTCAGCTTCAAATTCAACTCTTCGACCTTTTCCATGAGCCTGTCATTTGTAAACATGCCAAGAATGACACTTTGGATCGTTTGCCAGCTTTCTGTCAGTGGCAAAACTATAATTACAGCTGATCCAATTGTACCCCATGCTATTGCTATGATTGCCCAGAATGTGAAGTACCCGTTGCTGAATCACCCTGCAATAACCCAACAACAAAACAAAACAATAAAAAAGGAAGAAGAGTTTAATCAACTCACATCTTTCATTTCCAATTTCCATTTATTTACTTGTTCAACAACAAAAACAAAAGAACAAAACAAAAATGCTGCTTATCAAACTGAGGTAACATATTATCGGCACAAAATGACACTTCTTCAATTGATATAATCTCAAAAAGTTCACCTGTAGAAGTTGGGAATGAGGTTATGGTCAGTTCATGTCTTGGTGATGAATTTTTCATTTTAATTTTTGGTAGTGGCTTCAAAATAGAAGGATTAAGCATTCATGTGCTATTATGGAAATCGAAGCAAAAAGTGAATATCAAAATTTTGAACTTACCTGTGAGATTGGATTACAAGGAATCAGAACGAACAGAATGAGTTGCCAGCTAATTGCTGAAAGTCCCTGGCCTCATTCCGTCCATTCTCAAGGCCTTTGGTCCGATTCCTGGTAATCCAATCTCACAAAAATATGAACATAAAAAATGTGAATTCAAACACTGGTTATTGAATTTACCTGCAGGAAGAGAAAGAAGGGGCCACAACAAAACAATCACAACAGTAAAACCAACACCCCATTTCACAATCCACGCTTTCGCTCTTATCAGCTTTTCCTCCTTGAACTCCTCAGCTAGCAATTCACTCTTTTCCTTCTCAACCATAGTTATCTGCTTTGTCGTATCCCAATCATAGTTTTGAGGCCACAAAAAACTACACACGGCATGAATTGCTCCACCAGTAAGTGTGGACACGAGGTTTCCAGCAAGCATCGGTGCATTCCTTCCAGTCGTGTCAAGATTGACCCTTCCATACTCAACACTCGCAAGTGACAGCCAAGTGATAATCCCAAGAATGCAACCAATAGTCGTCCCAAGGATGGCACCGATTGCATTTGCTTTTCGCCATAGAAGCATGAAAGCTATGGGAAGGACGGCAGAGCCAATGAAGACTCCCGTGGCAAGGTACATCCATCCTAATGAAACTCCAGCCTTGTTTAGTATTACTGCTAAAAGTCCCATGAAACATCCGAAGCCTAGGACGACTCCCCTTGACACTCTGAGGATTTGCTTTCCAGTTGCATCTGGGTTTATGTAAGTGCGGTAGATGTCATAAGTGCATAAGGAAGAGACTGCTATTAGTTCTGATGAACCGGCAGACGTCACAGCCCTGTTTTTCATGTGCCAGAAAATTCAGTGTTTATAACAGAATACAGAAATATTGGAGTTTCAAGATTTAGTACATATTTGAACAAAGAAAGAATGAATTGGCCAGAATGTGGGGATTTGAAAATTAAACTGTCAAAACTTCGCTAAACAAAATTTCAAATTCAACTGATATTTGAATAAGATGAAAGTTTAGTATTGCACATTTTAGAAGCCACAAAAATCTGAAATCTTGAAATTATGGTACTCGATTTTGAGTAGTAAAATTGTCCAAAGTAGTAAATGTAAATGTCCAAAATTCTAAAACCGCTGAGAATAAAAATTGAAAAAAAAGGAATGCTAGAACTCAAATGGTGATTGTAAATATAAGATCACCAATTGGCTTAGCTCATTTGGTTTTGAGGGCCTTCAACTGATATTGGGGATGACACTTCGACATATAACTTACAAAAGCCCTACCAAGCTTCATAAGAGTATTGATGTACTTTTTCATCTAAAAATGTAGTCTTACTACACTGATATTAGCAAGATCATGGTCTATATATAATGCTCAATTCATGTTAGCTACAGTTTTGAAATTGTTAATGTAGCATTGCTTGAAACTCACATAAAAAGCATAGTAAGTAGAAGAATAGATCCTCCTTTTCCCATCAAAGCAATAGCCGTTGCAGGAGGAACAAGTCCATGACTAGCCTCACTTGCCGTTATAGGTAGATCAAGGGCTAGTGCTCCTAGACCTAGTACCGTTGCCAGAGAGAATGGCACAGCAAACCAGACCAACCCGCCCAGCAAATAGCCCTTATGAGTTGATGAAGGCCTTGCAGCAATGGCACTTACCCAATATCCCTACACATTTAAATATTCTTTGTTATTTAGCAATTGAAGAATGTAGACACAGGGCCAACGCTCACTTACATTGTCAACAAACACGGTACCAAAGTTGCCAACAATGTCAATTATCCCGAAGACGAGCCCTCCAGAACTCAACATTGTAAGGTAAGAGCCCTTGTAATTCCCACTAACTGGCCCACAAGACTGCCCATTATGGGTGAGTGGCTCTTGGCAGACTCTTGATTTGCTTGCAACCTCAAGCAGACGATGGTATACGATACTTGGGCTGCCTAGCTTACTGCTTGATGTGTAAACTAAGTACACAAACACGACTAAAACAACGTGCACTAAAACCAAAAACAAAAATAATAGAGCTCATATAAGCACCAAATGTAATTGGAAAACAAGATTACAATATGAAGAGCGAAAATACCTATTACTGAATGTATGTAGCTTGCCAAGAAGGTGGCTTTTAGTCCCCCTGCAAGCGTGTAGACAATTACGCCAAGTGGGATTAAAAAACTTGCAGCGTAGATGTTCACTCCAGTGAGTGCATTCACGACAGCAGAGCCACCAAGAAGAAGCATAGCCGTGACAATGATGTTTGTCAAGAAGCAAAAAGTGAGAAACACAAGATGAGCAGCGGTTCCCCATCTAAAGTAATGGAAAGATAGCCATCAAATTCAAGTAAACGAAGTTTTTCAACGAGTAAAATGATTAAAGTAGCTATGGCCCGTTCTGGGTTTTGAGTGGAATCATGACAACTATTTGACATACCGAGCTTTCACAATTTCACATACGGTATGAGTATAGGGGGCCTTTCTTTTGATCTCTATCGCCATTACGCCAAACAAGAGTACCTGTTCAATTTAGAATTACCAAAATTATTTATTGAAAAGTATCTGATTTCCTTCTTGTGGAGACAAAGAACTTAAGAACAAAAACAATGGAGAAAAAAGAAGAGTTGACATGCCTGGATGGTAGCCCCACTGGCATACCAGAAAGGGCCGCTAACTCCATATTCCCATGCAACATTTGAGCTTTGTAAAATTGTAGCAGCCCAAGTCCACTTTAGAAAACAATATTTTGAAGCCATTTGTTAGGTGAACATAAAGGTATTCCAGATTTGCAGAAGTGGGTGAACTGAGCACATTACCTGAGATACAATCACACTAGCAATCAGTCCTGTTTTAACATTCCTGCCTGCAGTGTTGAACCATTCTGATGTGTGGTGCGATCCAACATATCGCTTCTCCAACCAAACCTGGCAAATTAATTCATAGTTTGTTGTTTCAATTTAAACAAGCAGCAATAATGGTAAAGAAACAAAAAGATAATTCACAGTAGTATGGAGTTTCAAATAGTTGTTACTTGTTAATGATCATACTTGTTTGGGAATTCAAATAATTGTTAATGATTCTATGTGGAAGGGGCACTCTCAAATTATTTTTCATATAATGGTCTTGGTCATTACCATCTACACTTCCACTTAGCTTATCCTTCAGGGAAAAATAAGTGCAACTCCAAGAAGCAGGAGAAGATTTATGATTTTATGAGGGGATTTTTTAGGATTCCAAAGGCTAAAACTTTTCAACAAGATTCTGGATAATTCTAAATACACCCACAAAATTTCTCAATACACCCATTTTACAATTCCCCAAATAGTGTGTTTATTCGATATTGCCACTAATTACAAGTGTGAACCTTATGAACAATAATAGAGTGTAGAGAGATAGAATGGGGGTAATACCAGAAAGGAGGTGGAGACAGCAAAGAAGGCCCCAAATCCAAGAATAACAGAGTACCCAACACCTTGATTTAAAACTGCTTTCCCTCCAAAGAAACTGCTCTGTCTCACGCAACTGTCACCCGTGCCGGAGTAATACTTGGCGGCGAACTCAAACGGCGGACAATTCGGCAGAGAAGAAGCCATGAAGTCACTTCTCTTCTCCAACTTCAACTGTCAGAGTCTGGCACTCTGTTTGTGGAAATTTTTATAAGAAAAATGCTTGGGAGCACTAATCAGTGCTCCCACTAATTAGGTGGCAGTGGGTCTCGCCATTAATGATGTAATGTTTTGGTTTTGGTGTTGTGTTTTTTTTTTTTTTTACTTTTTTAATGCATTAGTGCTATTAGTGGTGATGTTTTTAGTGGGATGAATCATTGTTGTTTTTATAAACACAGAGGAACCGTAAAACCCAAGTTTTGTATGTAATTATTTTTGGATAAATTAGTAATTAAATTAATTTATGTGGATCATTTAATAATATTAAGCCTCCGTTTGGGAAGTGGATTGGCTTTTTAGTTTTTTGGCTATTTTAGCCTTGGCTATTTTAGCCTGGTTTGGGAAGGGCTTTTTGGTTTTTTTGGCTTTTTTGACTTTTTTTGTGAGAGGTGATTGTAATGATTATGAGTTGGATTTGATGTTTTGTTTTTTGTGACTAAAATAGTTTGTTTTGTTTTTTGTGGCTATTTTAGCCAAAAAAGCCTGGCTTTTTTCTTCCCAAACGGAAGGAATTAGTTATGAGATGATATTATTGTTGGGTATCTATACTATATATATAACCAAATGTAGTTATTTTGTTAAAAATCTCTAAATATTTATTCCTAAATTCTTATAATTTTGAAACTCTCTCTTTCCTACGTGGCAACCTTCTTTGAGTGCCTTTCTTATTTTCTATTTTTCTTTATTTTCTATTTGTTTGATTAATTATAATTAAAATTAATTTCATTGCTTATGGATAAAGATTTGAATTTTAAAATTTTTCCATATAGATAAACATATAAAAACTAAAAATTAATTTTATAGTCTACAAATAAAGATAAAAATTAAACAATTAATTTTAAAAAATTAATTTCATAACTTATAGATAATTTAAAATTTCTTCCTATAAATAAACAAATAAAAGTTGATAAATAACTTATAAAAATTAATTTCATGGCCTACAAATAAAGATAACGATTAAATAATTTTTTTTAAAAAAAAATTTCTCATTTTTTCTTCCCTTCATTTCGTACTTTAATTAATTTCATCATAGATAAACATATAAAAATTCATAAATAATTTATGAAAATTTATTTCATGACCTATAGATAAAGATAAAAATTAAAAAATTATTTAAAAAAATAATTTCATGACTTATAGATAAACAAACATATGAAAATTGATAAATAATTTATAAAAATTAATTTCGTGGCCTACAAATAAAAATAAAGATTAAATAATTGATTTACAAAAAAAGTAAAACAATAAAATTTAGATAAAGATATGATTTGTTAATCTATATATCTATCAAAAACATATATATCTAAATCTTTATTTTCATTTTCTCTTATCACATATTATCTTTTTTTATTTTAAATTTTTTATCTTATGAAATGTCCTTATCTATAACTTCTTATCTCCTATTGAATTCTTAACCTTCTTTTGATAATTTTTATTATTCGTTATTATCTACCAAGTGATAAAGAACAAATATAGTTGTTTTGTTAAAAGCCTCCAAATATTTATTCCTAAATTCTCATAATTTTGAAACTCTCTATTTCCTACGTGGCAACCTTTTCTGACTGTCTTTCATGTTTTCTATTTTTCTTCATTTTCTATTTGTTTGATTAATTATAATTGAAATTAATTTCATTGCTTATGGATAAAGATTTGAATTTCAAAATTTCTCCATATAGATAAACATATAAAAACTAAAAATTAATTTTATAGTCTACAGATAAAGATAAAAATTAAACAATTAATTTTAAAAAATTAATTTCATAACTTATAGATAATTTAAAATTTCTTCCTATAAAAAAACAAATAAAAGTTGATAAATAACTTATAAAAATTAATTTTGTGGCCTACAAATAAAGATAAAGATTAAATAATTGATTTACAAAAAAAGTAAAATAATAAAATTTAGATAAAGATAAGATTTGTTAATCTATATATCTATCAAAAACATATATATCTAAATCTTTATTTTCATTTGTTCATATTTTTTTTTCTCCTATCACATATTATCTTTTTTTATTTTAAATTTTTTATCTTATGAAATGTCTTTATCTATAACTTCTTATCTCCTATTAAATTCTTAACATTCTCTTGATAATTTTTATTATTCGTTATTATCTACCAAGTGACAAAGATAAAAAATTAAAAAAGATAAATAATTGGCTCTTAATGAGAAGAGTATTAATAATGAAATTGGTTGGCTCTGAGTGAAGAGTATTAATAATGAAATAATAAAGGCTACATGGGAGAAGGCAGCACAAAAATCTCACAAAATTAATTTTCTTCACTATATTTATAAAATATAATAATTTGATATTCTTTCTATTAGTTATTAAAAATAAATTACAGTAGATCATTTTTTTTTAAGGCTGTCATTCGTTATAGTATTTCTCCAATCCCATCTCTAAATTCTCTCTTTGAAATTTTTGTTTTTTCAATAATTAAGTTTAGAATCAATTTCTTATCAAATTTGTTTTCTTGGTCCTTATCGAGACGAATAAAACTTTCATTTAATATATGAAATTAATGAATATAATACAAAGATGATAAGGAAGTACTACATGCTTGTTAATATCTCTATGTTATTTTAGTTGATTTGTTATATTATACTATCAATTTAGAGCTCATATGATTTAATTCAATGTCCATGACTTTATTTGTATTCGACCATTTTTTCCCACAGATATAAAAAAATTTTGGGGTATATAATGATTAAAACTATCATTTGTTATATTTCTTCAAGTACAATTCAAATAATTTTTCATCATTTTTTTTATAAATAAAATAGATTAAAACTATTCTCTTATATAATTTTTATAATACTATTAAATTCTTATCTTGATTGATTTTTTTAAAATGACGTTGGATCTATGCAAGTATTCTTCAAACTATGGAGAAGGATTTATACTTTGATATGATATGCATGTGTCATTGATAGAGGAAATCAAAGATAGAGAGTTGCTAATATAATCAATTAATGATTTGTTTGAGAAGTTCTTTTTATAAACAAGGCAACAAACTTAGATTAAAATTTTTAAAAAACTACTTATAAATTATAATTAAAAGTTGATATTCATAATTTGATCCCACAATAATAATATACACCACTGATTTAAAAGTCCAAGTAAATTTATGATAACTTTTATGAGCTTATAGAATTTCTCTCTTTTAATGTTTTGTTTAGTTTGATACAAGTTATTTATGTTATTAATTTGGTGTTTACCACATCACAACCAATGGAATCACCCTCCAGATCTTCTTTTCTTTCTTCTTTAACTTCTCTCCTGCCCACCACAACAGTAAACACTCCACAGATCCTGGAATAGCAGTTTGGATATCCTACCAACCCAACATTTCAGCCCAAACCCTCCACACAAAAGGACACCAAATTAAGACATGAGTCACTGATTCACTATCACTGCCACAAAACACGCAAGCAATGGAAGCACTAGAGTTGATCACCCCCAGTTTTTGTGGAAGTGCAGGAATGAGTGTGTATTCAGAAAAAACTATTCCAAATGTGGAGGACCTTTGTGACTTAATTAAATATAGGATTGCATTTTGGTTAAAGCCAGCTTTCAGTGAGTTTAATTTTTCAGTTCAGGATTTTGTGCTTAATCTGAGGCAAGTGAGGAAGTGCTTGGGAGGGTGTTTTGGTTTGGTGTCCTGATCTGTGGTGTGCTGTTAGGCTTTGTTGCTGGGTGTATGCTGCACTACTGTTTTTTTGGTGGGACTTGAGAGGTTTGCTGGGCTGGTATGGTGTATTACCCAGATTGTATGCTGTTATGCTTTGAGGATTGGTACATGTTATACTGGTGTTTTGCTATTTTGTTGCTTGGTATACTACTGTTTTGCTATTTTGCTGCTTGGGTGTATGCTGTATGCTAGGTTGGTATGGTGTATTACTCAGATTGTGTGCTGTTAAGCTATATTGTACTAGTGTTTTGCTATGTTGCGGTGGATTGGTATATGTTGTTCTGCTTTATGTTGTTCTGTTGCTGTGTTGTAGGTTGCAGGTGTGTAGTGTTGGGATTCGATGGGTAGTGTGAGAGGTTTTTGGTCTGCTATGAAGGATTGTTTATTTATGGGAAGGATGCTTTATTGTACAGATCAGGAGGTATTTAGGTGGTTTTTGAGCTGAACTGTTTGGGATTTGGCCTGCTGGTTGAATTATGCTTCCATGCTGGATAGTCATTTGTTTGGTCTCTTAGTTCGAAGACGTAGTCTAGTTTTCTAGCTCTCTAATCCTGTTTGTCTTTTTTCTTGGCTTTCTGTTGTTTGCTTTCCTTCACCACTGGGCGCTGGGAGCCTTCTGTTTTAGCTCCAAGCTCCCGCTTATTTGATCGTCCAATGATTCTCCTACTGTGTTTGTTGCATCAATAATAATTTTCCTTTTTGCTGGTCAAAAAACAAAAAAAAAAGAAGATTATTTTGTGTTATTAAGTGATTAATGATACTATTATTCTCAATAGTTTTCTATAATTAATAATTTCTTATGCATATCAATTTATTGTGAAATTTTTGTGGGTTAAATTATTGTTAACATGCTACCTAGATGGCTTATAATATCATGGTTTGTCCCCGCTTAATTAAATATAATTTAAGATAAGATGATTTATTTATCAACACAAATATAAATAATCTATTTTTTCCCGTGCATCGCAGCGGGTTACGCTAGTACTTTCTAATTGAATGTGGGAACCCAATTATTTTGTTAGAATTTTAATTTGCACTTGGTTTAGATTATAATATATTTTTAATATATTATATTTTGGTGGAGATCCCAATTCAAATTTAGATACAATTATAGGGTTTGTTACAAATCTTAATACCCCAATTTATCCATATATATGATTGTTCAATATTTGAGATAGAAATATAGTATTGTTTTCATCACAAAAAAAAAAGAATGTCGTACGGCTGCCATTCTTGTATTTTTTTCCCAAAAAGCTAAGCCTACGCATTCGTCATGGTGAGACATGGT